AGAAAATGTGATTTTTCAAAATTTAATTTAATTTATATAATTATTTTCATGAAAAAATAGGATTTTTCAAAGAAAATTCCGAACTTGACCAAGGTAAATCCTAATCTCTTGAAATTAGTTTTGAAGGTAAACCTAGAAAAGAGAAGCCTTTGAACAAACATTCATGATTTTCTTTATTTTATTTGAATTTTAAGAATTATTTTAAGTTATGGGGTATTTATTAAATATAAAATATTTTAAATCTAGAAAATTAAGTTTTATATTTTTGAAAAATCCTCTTAAGGTCAGAGAACTCAGAGGAGAAAATTTTATATTTTTCTAAGTTTTATTTAATTTATTGGAATTATTCTTAGTGAAAACCCATTTTAGCCTTTAAAAATTATTTTAAGCTTTGAAATTCAGTATCTTTATTTAGAAAATTAGGAAAAATATTCTAATTTTTCCTATGTACTTAGGAAGCAATTTAGAACATTTTCATGAATTTTATTATTTTTTGTGATTTTTATGGATTTTTAATTATCTAAATATTTAAAATAGACTAAAAATGAAGCTTTCATTTTAAATATCATTTTATTTTTAAAAAAATACCCCTAATCACAAAGATCTCAAAAAAATAAGATTTTTTATAAATTCTTTAGTTATATTTTGATTTTTAAAAATCATTTAAGTGCCAAAAATGTTATTTATCTTTAAAAATCAACTTAAGTTACCAAATGAACTCAAAATGCTTTGGAATTTTTATGGTGAGTTCTCTGGATCCTAAACAGTAGTGGAGATAAAAAATCAAGTCATTTTGTTGTTTGTATTTTTGAAAATTAATTATCTTAGTGATTTAAGGTTTGTGAAGATTAGGTGTATTTTGAATGACTTGGCTCATGAGAAATTTTTTTAAAGGCTCTTTGGTCATCATGAACCTCCCAAAATTTTCTTGCATTTTTCTAGGCAAAATGCTAATTTTCATTATTATTTTAAGCAAATAATGCACATAAATTTGAAAAATATGATTTTCTGTCTAGGGACCTCCTTTGACTTTGGAAAAATTAAGGAATGTTCTCTAAAACAAAGGCAACAACATGCTAAAATTTCAAGCCATTGTGAGATTACTACATGCATAGAAAATCAAAAAATCCAAATCAATATTTAATTAATTAAAAATAAAATATGCATCAAATGGACTCTAAATTGTATCCACATTGTTCTCCTCTGTTCACTGAGTAAGAGAATATTTTTATTTTATTTTTGTGATTTTTCTACACCAAGATATGAATTTTTGAAGTTAGGGGTATTTAAATAAATAGAAAAAATCCCTATTTATCTATTTAAACAGCGCAGCGCCATGTAGATCTTAGGCAGCTCCAAACTCCTCGCGGCACGCTCCCATTTATCGCTGCCATCCACATAAGCAGTCACGCGTCCCGCTGTTCATGTAAGGAAGTGTTGTCCAGCTTCATCTCAACCATCCATCCGATACACGCGCGATTGGACGACACTCCGTCATCGTCCCCAATAGCATTAAACCGTAAATCGTCCATTTTCTAAACCTAATTTCTCTCTCGATTCTCAACCAAATCACATGGGTTTATTTCTAAAGCTTCATCAAAATGCTCGTGTAGACTAGACAAACACATCCATAAGGTGATCAAGCCATCAAATTAACTCTAAGCAAATGGAGAATCAAAAGAGGCTTGGGAGGGGGAGAGATTTTATACCTTGATTTTATACCTTTGCTCTTACCTTTGCTCTGAGAAGTGAAGCTTCGATCAGAAAGTTTTGGCACGTTTTTTGTGATCCAAAGAGGCTAGGGATTGAGTCTCTAGTCTTGGTGTAAGGCCTAGGGATGATTTCGATTACAGCTGGATTTGGCTGTTAATCTAGAGTTATGGTAGAGGCTCTGTGAGAGGGGAATTTGATGGAGCTTAAGCTTCTTTCACTGTTGTGAAGGTGTGGGTGAAGTTAATTTGAGTTTAGTGGATTGTGGAGGTGTATTGGGCTCTATCCTGATTTCTGGCAAGATTTTGAGCTCAATTGGCAGTAGAAATTAGTGAGGGAAAACAGTTAGAATGCACTAAGGGGATCTTAGGGAATCTCCGTGGTCAGTTTGGGGAGGTCTCTCTAAGAAATTTTCAGCACCACCTCCCATGGCCGTGGGAGGTTCTTTTTATAGAAATGGCTAAGGGGTTGGCTAAGGGGTGGCTGTCATGGGCCATCATGGCCAATTAGGGGGTGCATTGTGCTTCTTAGGTGGATGTCAGAGGAGCTCTACAATTTAATTTGGCTAAGTTGGCCTCTAGGTTTTATTTGGGTGAAGTTCTATGGGGGTGGCTCTTGATTTTGAGCTTTTCCGGTGACTAGGCCGGTCGTCCATGGCATAGGGAGGTACATGAATCTGTCAAAGCAATTTAATGCAATGGGGTTTAGTTTTGGTAAGGGTTTCTTAAGCATGTGTATTTTTGGAAATAAGATTCCTTAATTTGGGGAAATCTTGGTCCAGAATCTTGGTCCATGGCTCATCTGGCTTAGGTTAGATGGGCTTTGGCTCAGTCTTATGGTCTATTCAATGGCTGAGATGGAGTTAATTTGATGACTTTCGGGTAGTTAGACCATCTTTAATGCATGGGTTCAATGTGGGTCCAAGTAATCAAAGCTTTGGTTTGGGCTAACTTAGCCATATCAATTGACCCAATTAATTGATCAAGATTATGTAGATGATTTTTATGAAAATTTTTGGTGAAGGGTTGAAGTGATTTTTAGTTCAATTTG